CAAGTGGCGCGTTGGTTAAGAGCTGGCTTGGGACGCCAGCTCTCAGCAGCAGGGCCCCAGTTCGGATCCCACATGAGGGCCAGTGAAACTGCGCCATCTACAGCTAACATGGTGAACAACAGCTCAACCTGGAGTTGGGCTGCCGAGAGTCACCGGCAACGCGTAGGCTGCAGTGAGGCTGCAGTGGGCTGCTGTAAAGCTACCATGAGTGGCTGGCAGCAGGTGTGAGCTGCTAGCAGCCAGTGTGAGCTGCCAAGAGTCGCCATGAGCAGCCGTCCAGTGGCCGGCAACCGGTCTGCCTCACCCCAGAAGAGTGCAATGATAATACCAACATGGGGCAGTGAAGCGACATCCTCCACAACTAGACAGAACAAAAGGACAGCAACTTGTCTGTTCTCCTTCCCCGATTCCCCAACGCTGTTCCCCTCCCCCAATTGCCCAATAAAATCTTTAAAAATAATAATAATAAATAACTACTTAGTAAGAAAGAAATAAAGGAAAATAAAGCTTACCGGGCTGGACAAGTGGCTTTATAGAGCTGACAAGAACTGCTTTCCTGCTCACCGATTTTTTTTAACTGGAAACCTTTTCTCCTTGGCCCATACTGACACTCCATTACCACGGCTCTACTCCCTGTGGGCCAAAACTGACTATTGATATTAATTCAAGTATCCATCTGTTCTGGATACTAGATTGGAAATAACTTGGTGGTGGCAATGTCAAAATCTAGGCTTTCAATTATACAACTTTAAAGAAAGAAAACATCAGTAAGTCTTACTACGATGTACAAACAAATAAATTTAAAAGTTTATTGTAATATTTACCAAATATACCACAGTATGGTAAGGAAATTAGCAAATACCACATATATTGAATGACAACTGATATTTACATAAGTATGATTTTAATAAAATTTAACATTTTATAAATAGAAATTAGCAAATGCTACATTTGTTAATAAATATTAATGTCATTTAAATTTTAACTTCCTTTTATAATTCTTTCTTTCTTTTTTTCTATTTGGGCTGGTAGTGTCATGGGATATCCAGTCACTAAGATAGCCCCCAATGATCTCTGCCTCCTAGTACTCATGTCCTTGTGTAATTCCTTCCCCTAAAGCACGGGCTAGACTTATTAACTTACTTCTAATGAATATGGCAGAACTGACAGGATGTTATTTTGGATATTAGGTTATAAAAAGACCATGACTTCCATCTCGGGTACTCTCTTGCTCTTGCTTGGATTGCTCACTCTGGGAGAAATCAGCTATCATGTGATAAGGCAGCTCTGTGTACAGGCCCATGTGGCAAGGAATAAGGCCTGCCCAGAGCCACATGAGTGAGCTTGGAAGCAGATCCAGCCCTAGTCAAGCCATGAGATGACTGCAGCTCCAGCCAACACCTTAATAGAGTCTTGTAAGAGAACATGAGGCAGAACCACCTTGCTAAGCTGCTTTTGGATTCCTGACCACACAGAAACTGAGATAATAAATGTTTGTGGTTTTCAGCCACCAAGTTTGGGGTAACTTGTTACAAAACAATAAATAATGCAAATAAGATGTGAAAACTATACAGTTTAAGATTTTAAGTTGGATATCCTACTCTATCTAGGGTACAGAAAACTTTCTAAACGTAAAATCAAAAGAACCCAAAAAAGCATTGGAGATGTTGCTGCCCGGCAATTGTTATCACTTTGGCTCAAATAAATTCATAAAAATTATCAAAAAAAACCCAATCATAAATTAAAATGCTGATAAAGCTGACATAAAAATGTAAAACTTTTTTTAAAAGATTTTATTGGAAAATTGGGGGAGGGCAACAGTATTGGGGAATTGGAGAAGGGGACCAGTCAAGTTGTTGTTTTTCAATCTTTGTCGTGGAGGGCGCCAGTCACCATCTGGCTGCCTGTCAGCAGCTCAATGCCTCTAAGCTCAAGGTGCTGTGTTTAATCTTAGTTGCGGTTGGGAGCGGCCACCATCCCATGTGCAGTCCAACCAGCAGCCTTGTTGTTAAGAGCACATGCTCTATCCACTGAGCCATCCGGGCAGCAGCTCAGCTCAAGGTGCCGAGTTCAGTCTTAGTTGCGGTGGGCAAAGCCCATCATTTAATAGGCAATCTTGTTGTTACACCAGCTGAGCCATCCTGCCACCTGTTGGCAGCTCAGAGACAGCTCAGCTAGGGCGCAGCGTCACTGGCCCATGTGGGAATCCAACCGGTGGCCCTCTTGCTCGGAGCTCCTGCTCCTAAGCCAATTCTTAACCAACTGAGCCACTTGACCGGCCCAAAAATGTAAAACTTTTATTTAAAAGACACCATAAATAAAGGTAAAATGAAAATAACAGTTTAGAAACTGTATTTTATAATATATATAACAAAAAATTAACATGCAGAATATAAAGAACCATAGATAATTTTAAAAAACAACAACAAAGCAACCAAATAGAAAAACGGGTAAAGGTTATGAAAGGGCAATTCAGAAAGAAAAAAAAAAAGGACATGAAATTAACAAATAAAAAGATGTTCAACTTCACCAGTAAATGGGGAAATGCACATTAAAACAACAGTAAAACCCCATCAGACAGAAAAAGTCAAGAACCATACTATTTCACTTGTATGTGGGATATAAAACTGAAAGCAACAAACAAACTAGACAAACAGAAACTCATACACAGAAAATAGTTTAGTGCTTACCAGAGGGTAAGGGGGAGAAGGGGTAATAGAAGAGGGTAAAGCAGGTCATATACATGGCGATGGAAGGAGAAGTGACTCTGGGAAGTGAACATACAATGTAATATATACATGATGTATTATAGAATTGTATACTTGAAACCTATATAATTTTACTAACCAATGTCACCCCAATAAATTTAATAAAAAATTTTTAAAAATACTATCTCACACTCTTCAGATTGGCAAAAATAAAAAAAAATTGATATTCTAAAACAATATTCTAAAACAACTGAATCCACTGATCAATCTTAACATCACAAAAAGGTGTTTTACATAGGTAGCAATAAGAACTACACAGAATCTATGAAGTATTCTTACAAAATACTTTTATGGAGATTAACTCTGCATTTAGTCAAGCCTCTAGATCTAACAGTTTAAAGGAAATACAGGAGATAAAAGAACATGTTAAACTACACCATAGAGATGGAATCAGCAAAATCCAAAATATGGCAAACTCTATAGAACAAACTACCTATTGGAGAGGAATTTTTAAATGAAAAAAAATTTAAGAGCTATATTAACCAAATATAATCTGTGAATTCTGTTTGGATGTAAATTTCAACAAACCTAGGGAAAAAGAATTATGAGATAAGTGGAGGGATGTGAATATTAGACATTTATAAATTACTGTTATTAATTTAAAGTATGATAATGAGATACTCATTATGTAAAGAGTCCTTATCATTTAGAGACGTATACTTTAGTATGTACTATATATTTTAGTAATTATAGATGAAAATGAAATGATATCTGGAATTGGCTATAAAATCATCTTGGTGGCTGGGAATGAGGAAGTTGGTAGGGGTACAGATAAGACTGACCATATGCTGACAGTTGCTGAAGCTGGATGATGGCTACATGGAGTCTGGGGATTTCATAATTACTACCTCTACTTTGATGTACATATGAAAATTTCATAATATAAAGATTTTTAAAAGTCTGACAATGCTAAGTTATAGAGTGAATTTGGGAAAGGGAAATTTTCATACATTGTTGAAAGGAGTAAAAATTGGTACAGCTCGTCTATCCCTTATGTATACTTCTGAATCTAAAAACTCAAAAAACTAAATTTTGGGGGACTCATTTGGCTGCAAAACCTGACCTGAACTTTATGAGGCAATTCATAGTTTTTATTTATTCCTTCTAGTATGACTATCCAAAAAGTATTACTGTGTTTGATCATGTGCTATTGTCTATAGAATACTTGCTAGAAGTATTTTGTAATATTACCATATTTCATTCCAAAATTTCAGAATTCTAAAATACCTCTGTCCAAAAAAATTCTAGAGAACAGATTCTGGATCTGTACAACTACTTCAGTGAGCAGTTTGAGAGAATCCTGTAAAGATGAAATGGGTACACTTCACAACTCAGCAATTCCACTTTAACGCATATACTCCAGAAAAAATAATTACATCTTTTCAACAGAAAATGTCTATTGTGGAGGCCTGACTATTGCATTCTTTGTAATATTTAAAAGTTGGAAACAACCTAAATGATTGTTAGTAGAAAAATAATAGTGGTTTGGTCATATGCTGGAATGTTACGTAACAATTAAATTGAGTTAAGTAGGATCTATAAATAACAATAATAGGTTTCAAAAAATAATGGTGAGGGCCGGCCAAATGGCTCAGTTGGTTAAGAGCTCGAACTCTGAGCAACAGGTTGCCGGTTTGATTCCCACATGGGCCAGTGAGCTGCGCCCGAGTTGAGCTGCCAAAAGGTGGCAGGATGGCTCAGCTGGTGAGAGCACATGCTCCTAAAAACAAGGTTTCCAGTTCAACTCCTGCATGGGATGGTGGGCTACACCCACCAGCGACTAAGATTGAACACGGCACCTTGAGCTGAGCTGCTGCGAGCTGCCAACGGGCAGCCAGATGGTGACTGCACTTGGAGCTGAGCTAGCTGCACCCTCCACAACTAAGACTGAAGGACAACAACTTGGTTGTTCCCCTTCCCCAATTCCCCAACACTGTTCCCCTTCCCCAATAAAACTTAAAATAAATAATGGTGAGTGAAAAAATTTATATAACAATGTTTAAAGTTTACTATTTATGTACGTTTTTAAATATCAAAAACAATAAAATATATTATTATAAATACAAACATGTATGGTAAAGTATAAAAATATAGACTGGCAAGATACACACCAAATTCATGTAGCGGCTGCCTGTGAAGAGTTAAGAAGGGGATTAGAACGAAGGAGGGGAAAAATGTTGCATTTCTTTTATAGAATACTGATAAACCTGGGCAGAAGCAGTTATATTTATCTTATCTTCCTCTAAGTATTTCTCTTTACCCTCAGAGGTCCAGGATGAGGCTGAAACTTTTCCAGCTGAATCCGTACCCACATAGTTCTGAAATAAGTCACTTATTTTTGGGTTCTGTGGAATCTGACTAGTATAAGGGTAAATCTCTGGGAATTGTTTGAAACTCTACTTCTTTAGTAAACACTATCCTAGTGCTTGAGAATACTGTATATAATATAACTGATGCTTGAGAACCCTAATATTAGAATTCTGTATAATAACTCCTAATTATATACAAATTCTATACAGTAACTCCAGGGTTGTAAACTATATAAAATGGACACAAATGTGTCCTATAAGACAAATCAAGAGAGAAGGAGAGAATATCTGGATTCTATGAAAAAAAAAAAACCCCACCCAGATAAACATATTTAAAATAATAAAATTGCTTACTATTTAATTTATATTGAATAGGTCTACCTGGAATTTCAATATTTTTATTTTCCGTTTTCAGCATAATATCTAAAGGAAGCATTATTCATTTAATATATTAAAATGCAATTTTATAACATAAAATAATTGGTTATATTTACTCTAAGTTTTCTTTTTAGTTTAACATGCTTTTTTTTTATTAATTAACATTCGGTTGTCATTTACCAAAAGAAAATTTATCACCTTAGAAAAATCACATTTTCACAATAGATCATGGCTACTGCTGAACCTTTTAAAATAATTATTTAAAAAAGTACCTGCATTGACAAAGGGGATTCCATCATATGGGACATACTGGGATTTCCACATCAAACGTGTAGCCGGCTTGGCTGGGCTAGGAGATTGGCGGGTCCCCCAAACAGTCTGTGTTTGCTGCTTATGAAATGTTAGGACACTTTCTAATTCAGTCTCACTCACACAGTAGCCACGGTATGAATCTCCAATTTTCTGCATGTAGTAAATATTAAATGACAAAATTATTAGCAAATATGTTTCATTATACAAAAAAATTTAATGACATGAGAATGAAATTTTACCATTTGTAACAACATGGATGGACCTTGAATATTATACTAAGTGAAATAAGTCAGATGGAGAGACAAATAACATATGATCTCACTTATATGTGGAATCTAAACAACAGAATAAACAAACAAAACAGAAGTAGACCCAGAGATGTAAGGAAAAAAAAACTGATGGTTGCTAGGTGGGAGGGAGGTCAGTGAACCTTGAAGAATTTCCACTGAGAATATGAAAAGACCTAAGTGCAAGCAAAGAAAGAAAAGGAATGGTCAAAAGATATTAAAAAAAAAACAACAAAAACCCCCCCCCCCAGAAAAACATGATGGCAAAGTTTCATGGAAGGCAAGGGAAAAGAGTTGCAAGAGAAGAAAAGATAATGAAGTGTGAAGGGATTTATATGATCTCTGTTTTAACAGAGTTTACAATCGCTAACAAATAAAAGAATAAGATGAGATTAGATTTAGCAAAAACCTGAACAAAATATTATGGATACAGCCTCTATTAGTTGTACTCAAAAGTGAACATTTTGGTGGGCTGGCCAAGTGGCTCAGCTGATAAGAGTACGAGCTCTGAACAGTACGGCTGCTGGTCCAGAGCTGCTGGGACAGATGTCCCAGTAAGCTGTGCCCTCTACAGCTAAGATTGTGAACAACAGCTCGACCTAGAGCTGGGCTGCCGTGAGTGGCTGGCAATGGCATGGGCTGCCATGAGCTACTGTTAGTGGCTGTCCAATGGCTGGTGACCAACTGCCTTAGCCAAGAAGAGCGCAATGATCATAATACCAACATGGGCCAGTGAAGCAATGTCCTCCACAACTAGGCTGAAGAACAAAAGGGCAGCAACTTGTCTGTTTCCCTTCCCCGATTCTCCAACACTGTTCCCCCCCCCCCAATTTCCCAATAAAATCTTTAAGAAAAATAAAAAGTGGACATTTTGGGATGAATTATAGTTACAACCAATTAAATCAATGTAGGTAAGGATTATTTTTAACTCACCTCACAGCTCCTAAGACGGCAGGCCCAGATAGGTGTGTTAGAACAAAGTGTTTGGAGAGGAGCCAGAGTGGGTTCTTCAAGCATTCTGGGCCAGGGCAGAAATATATAAAAATATATATTACCAATTATACACACACACGAATACACACAAACACTCACCGTTCAATTGCGCTATTCTCTTAGCCAGGGTCAAAGACAATATAGTAAGGTCATCAATAAGAAATTGTAATAATAATGACAGATTGATCTGATGGGTGTATTAATTATAATTTTCTTTAATCATTACTATTTTAGTAACTGCTAAAGCAAAGGCCTAAGTTTGTTCTCCCAAGTACCTGTAGTTTCAAAAAATTCAAGTATTTTATATCTCTCTCTAAAAGTTTATTTTATGCTTTTCTCACTATATAATTATTTTTATTTATCAAAAAATAAGGTTGGGCCGGCCGAGTGGCNGTTAAAGGCTTTCTCTTGCTCCATTCGGATTATTTTCCTGTCAATTTTGGGGTCTGTAGGAACTCTATATTCAGGAAACTTTTGTACCTTTTTAATGTAAATCCTTTTTATAAAAAAAAAAAGAATTTGTTTCATTATATTGTAATCTCAAGAAAACCTAATTTAACCAGTTTACTTGAAACATAAAAGTTTACAGAAAATTCAGTTAATCGAGAAAGCATTCAGAGGAGGATTATGTGAAAGATATGCCATATTCTCAATGCAAAATACTTAGCAAATCAATAATCATGACTTCAGTAAAAATATCTAAATATTTATAGTTTATAGTATATCACATACTATACTATTAAGTTCTCTAATATTTTTTTATTTACTGATCTACCCCATCAATATTTTAAGTTCCCCATGATTAAGTAAAATCTTATACCTCTTTTAGTGTCCTTCTTTCCCATGGCACCCAATGTAGTTGCTGGGCACAAAATATTAGTAAAGGACATTATAACAACCTTTTATTTTGTTCACATTTTTCATTCTCCCAAAACAATAACTAGTCTCTAGTCTTATTCTATCTAAAACTTGCTATGTTGGTTTCATATATTTCTGGTATGAATAGAATTGGTAAAATCTCTCTAAAAAAAGCAACTTTGAAATACCTATCAACATTTAAAAAGAATATAACCTTTGCCCTAGCAATTTCATTTCAAGGAATCTATCCTACTGATATACTGACACAAGTGTACAAATAGGTACAATGCTATTAACTGCATCTTTGTAGATAATAATAAAGAATACCTTTCAGGGACTACATGTCCAGGACTAATTAAGTAAATGTTAATTCATCCATAAATGTAACATTATATGGCTATTAAAAGGAAGGAGCCGTGAAACTAATATATCAGTTATATCTCAATTTTAAAAATAAATATATTTGCTTTTTTTTAAAAAAAGAAGAACCAGTGCTTTTATGTACAGATATGTAGCCAGGTTTGAGAAGTATTGGGAATGAAAAAAGGCAAAGTATAGAGTAGTGTATGTCATATTCACACTATATAATAGCTATACAGTAAATAACCACAATAGGTATTCATAATGGAAATAAATCAATGTGGCTTCATAGCAGGAAAGAACATACACTACTAATAAAAGAAATATTAGTAAGCTTTACTGAGATCTTCAACATTTATGAAGGTAAAGGAGAATGTACATATATGCATATACACAAAATGATCTTCGGAAACTATAGGAGTTGTTGCATTAGAGAGGAACATAGGGAGCCAGGGTAAAAGGAAACTTGGATTTCACTGTATATTTTTTGGCACTGTTTAAACTTAATAAAAGTGTGCATATTCGCTATTCAAAAATAACTACTTAGTGGGCCAGCCAAGTGGCGCGTTGGTTAAGAGCTGGCTTGGGACGCCAGCTCTCAGCAGCAGGGCCCCAGTTCGGATCCCACATGAGGGCCAGTGAAACTGCGCCGTCTACAGCTAACATGGTGAACAACAGCTCAACCTGGAGTTGGGCTGCCGAGAGTCACCGGCAACGCGTAGGCTGCAGTGAGGCTGCAGTGGGCTG